AAAAAAAAAAAAAAAAAAAAAAACGTATAAGAACTAAAATGGTTTCCATTTAATTGAATCTAAAATTAATTTATTTAATTAATTTTGAAAAGAGAATGATGAACCACCTGTGTGTACATTGGTCTTCTAATTTTGATTGCTTGAACCCTTGTCTGGATTCTTTACTCCAATCCTTCAAACAAAATAATTTTTTCAATTTCACAATATCCCTTTAAATTTATTTAAATTTAATTTTTTTTTATAAATATACCCTAAACTTTTATTTAATTATTTATAGATAATGTAAAGAAAAAAAAAAGAAAAAAAAAAGAAAAAGAAATGAAGAGGGAGGGAGTGACCTGAGCATACACGAGAGTGCCCCAGTTATGGTGCTGTGTGAGATTGCATTTGAGAAGGTCTTTCCTGGAGCGGTGCACTTCTGGGTTCCCTTTCCAGTATGCAAAGGGCACCCTGTCCTCCCATTTTGTTCTTTTGTTCCCTTCTCTTATGTCCTCCAATATCTTTCTCCATGGCTTTATGTTTACTTCCACCCTTTAACAAACGTCCACAAACCTTTCAAAACTCGACCATATAAGAAGAAACGCTCGTACTCTTAATTTTTTCGACAAAAACATTCTAATTGAAAGTGTAGAATCAATACCTATAAAAAAAAAACAAATTAATTTTAAAAAATGAGAAAAAGAATAATTACCATCCCCAAAACGACCAATCAGGAAATGCAATATCCAAACTGGACTCATCCGAGCAATAACCGAAGAGCGGAGGTAGGACCGACCATTGACCCCAAAAGTCATTTGATCGGACGACTGGGAGATCATCGCAATTAAACATGAGTTCAAGATCCGGCAATTTCCCAGGATGCCATCTAACAAGCTGCAAAATCCCCCACAACGTGAACACATCTCTGGTCTGAAATGCGTTCATATATTTCTCAACATACACCCGCCCGTCCACGATTACTACTCTGAAATGAGCCGTTTTCCGGGCCCGCTCCAACATTTCTCTAGTAATACCCGTCTCTCTCCAATGCCGTAGATCTTCATGAATCCAACGGAAGTAAGGTGGACACGTAGCATCCGATGGACGGTATAGATTTACGCCGCTCAAATTTGACTTGTAGTCTTCATTTCCAATCCCTTTCTCCCACCAGTATGTTGGCTGCCAAAGAATAAATATTAAATTAATACAAATTAATTAATTAATTAATTAAAAAAAAAAAAAAAAGTCGAAAGAAAAGGCAACGTTGATATCGATGAAGAAAAGGGCGGATGGATTAGATTAGAACATACCGCTTTGATCCATTGCAGTCGGAGGAAGAAGCCGACGAGAAAGACGCAGAAGACGAAGGCGAGGGTCTTGAAGGTGGGCTTGTGGGCGAGCGGGCAGCATCGCCATCTGGGGGCTTGAGCGTCGGAGGAATAAGAATCAGAGCACAAGATTTGGTGCACGAATCTATCCACACAGCGCTTCATCGCTTACACAGAGAGAGAGGAAATGAATGGGTTTGGGGCTTTAAATTTCGCAATGTAATGAGGGGACGACATCACGTTTTGATGCCTATACTTTTGTTTCATTAACAAATTCTTTTAAAATAATTAAATTATAAAAATACCCTCAATTAATCCCTATTGGCTCCCCCAAAAGTCTGCCTTTTATTTATTTATTTATTTAATATATACTCGACATCTCAAGTGGGGATAAATTATTTTATAAAGCAGGCTTATTTTTGGATCGATACTATCAATATTTATTTTTGGATAATTATTTTTTTAATTAGATTATTGGTTAAATAATCTTCAAACTAGTCTTTGGTAGTTAAATAAATTATAAATAATGATTGAGAGAATTTCGTGTATTTATGAGGGATTAAAATTCTAAAATTGAAGTTGTTGAAAGTTTTATTAATTTGGGTATTCTC